GGCAAGTGCTCAGGGGTCCACCTCAGGCCATCAGGCAAGTGCTCAGGGGTCCACCTCAGGCCATCAGGCAAGTGCCTGCGCCTACTGGGCCACCACACCAGTCTTTATTATTATTTTTTAGTGTGATGGGTGTTTTGCTTGCATATATGTCTGTGCATTACTATATGAGCCTGGTGCCTAAAGAGGACAGATGAGGGCATTGGATCCCCTAGAAATGGAGTTACAGACAGTTGTGAGCTGCCATGTGGGTCCTGGGAACTGAACCTGGGTCCTATGCAAGAGCAGCCAGTGCTCTTAACCACTGAGCCATCTCCCCATGAGCTTTTTTCTTTGGCACAGGGTTTCACCTTGTAGCAGGCTGTCTGTCAATGCAAGGATCCTCATCACCTCCCAGTGATGAGAATGGACTCTTGGTCCTTTGGTATGCTAGACAAGCACTGTACCTCTGAGCTCCAGCCTTAGACCCTTACGTTAGGTTTGAACTGGGCTTTGTCTTATTACCTCTCAGTGGATTGTAATTTGCTTGAAAACAGAAATCTCACCTGGCTCCCATCTTATTGTTGTAGCTCAAAAGCTTAGCATAGGACCTGACACACAGGTAAAAATCTGCCAATTTTTTTAAAGAAAGGATAAATCCATATATAGTACTTGAAATATGGACAGCAACCAGGAAAACCAAGTTGTTGATAATACCAAGAAATAAGCAGCTTCTTGACATTTAGGTTTTTATTTTTAATTATGTGCATCTCAGTGTGTAGGTTTGTGCTTGAGTGCAAGTGTCCTTGGAGGTCAGAAGAGGGCATTTGATCCTCAAGAGCTAGACTTACAGACATTTCTAAGTCACCTGATGTGGGTGCTGAGATCAGAACTGGGGTCCTTTGTAAAAGCAAAACATTCTTAACCACTGAGTCATGGCCCTGGCTCCAAAGTTTTGTTTTGTTTTCGAGGCAAGGTCTCACTATATAGACACAGGCTGGCCTCACACTTACTTTATGGACTAGGCTGACCTGGACTCAAAGGTCTGCCTGCCACTGTCTCCTGAGTGCTGGGATTAAAGGTTTGTGACACCATACCTGGCTTTTATTTTATTATTTTTTTAAAAATATGTGTATATCTGTTTTTCAGGGATGTATTTCTATGCACCATATGTGTTCCTAGTGTGAAGAGGCCAGAAGGAGGTGTTGGATCTCCTAGAAATGGAGTTAGGGGGCTGGAGAGATGGCTCAGTGGTTAAGGGCACTGGCTGCTCTTCCAGAGGTCCTGAGTTCAATCCCCAGCAACCACATGGTGGTTTACAACCATCTGTAATGAGATCTGGTGCCCTCTTCTGGTGTGCAAGCATACATGCAGGCAGAACATTGTATACATAATAAATAAATAAATCTTTAAAAAAAAAAAAAAAAGAAATGGAGTTAGAGTGTCATGTGGGTGCTGGAAATTGAACCCGGCTCCTCTGGAAAAGCAGCCAGTGCTCCTAACCACTGAACATCTCTGTAGCTTCATCCATCTTTTTAATATTAAAATATTCTCTGGCTAATATTTTAATATTAAAATATTCTCTTGGTCCTTTCTTGTCAGCAATTTGGAGGCAGACACGACTTTTCCGTGTAGCCCTGGCTGTCCTGGAACTCACTTTGTAGACCAGGCTGGCCTCGAACTCACAGAGATGAGTTCCAAGTCCTGCCTTCCAAGTCCTGGGTGTACATCACCACCACCTGGTGTGAGACTCTGTCTTTAAAAAAAAAAGTCTTCTGATTGAATCTGTGATTAGCTTAACAAATACAATTTTATTTTATTTTAATGTTTTATTTCATGTCTATGGGTGTTTTCCTGTATGTGTCTGTGTACCACGTGTGCCTGGTGCTTATAGGAGTCCAACACCCCCTTCTGGCTTCGAAAGGCACACACATGGGACATATACATACATGCAGGCAAAATATCCATACAATAAAATAAAATAATTAAATATTAAGATACTATATAGCGAAATGTAATTTGATAGATTAAAATTTCCCCAGAAGACCATAAAATCACAAATGGATACTAAATACATTTAAATTATAAGTTGGAAGGAGCCAGGCATGGTAGTTCATGCCTATAGTCCCAGTGCTCAGAA